TGAACATGATTGAACTGAACCTGAACCTGAACTTGACCAAAGTTCGGTTTCAGTTCGGTTCATAGGAACACTATATGTTGTAGTTAATATAAATGTTACCAACCACGATAGTAGCAATGATGAGAGTTTAACTAGTATAGGTATATATTTATTTTTTTAATAAATAGTTTATAGTACTATTATTTAATATTATACATTGTAGTTGACAAAAATATTACTAGCCATGATAGTAAGTCTTGTCATTGTGGTGTTTGTGGCCAAGTAGACCATAATTCGCGTACATATAGCATGGATAGATTAAACAATCATGGGAACAATGATGTTGAGAGTGCAACAAGTATTGGTAGGTTTAAGATTTATATTGCTTAAATAGTTAGATAATATCAGATATATACTAAAAATTAATCTCTATACTATAGCTGACACAAACTCTAGCTATAAGCTTCGCCGTTGTGGTTTTTGTGATCAAACTGGCTATAATACTCATACATGCGATTCAAAAAATTAGTTGTAAGTATAGATGAATAGTGTATTGTATATATTTTATTGTAAGTTGTTTGTGAAATGATATGCTAATGATTGTAGAACTAATAATCAGTAATGAACGTTATAATATTGGGCCCAATATGTAATATGTAGTAGTATAGTATGAAGCATACAGAATTTATATGCATTTTTTTTAGGAATTAAGATTGAACATGTTTAGAATGTTTTTTTGTAGGATTTTTAGCATGTTTTAGAAAGCTTTTTTATCAAGCTAGGGTAAGATTTAGACTAATAGTTTATTTTTAATTTTATTATTGTATTACTATGTATAGTTTTATGTTGGGCTTAAGATTTTATGTTTTGAAACTAAGGATTAGAATCGGTTTAGTCGAATATAGTAAGCTACTATGTTTAATCAACTAAACCAATTCCAATCTTTATTCTAAAAAACATGAATAAGTTTGAATATTTTATCGAAGCAAATCTTTAGAGTACTGATAAATATTCAAATTTAATTGTGACTTATAGACTGATTAATACTAATTTTGTACTGTTTTTTACAACTGATATGAACAAAGTTCGAAAAGAAATGATATTATAGATGAATGGGAAAAGGTATACTAAATAAGAAAGTAATGTGTTATACTATTAATAGGTGAGAATTTATACTTTTTAGACATGTATAAGTAATATATAAATCATTAAATAGCAATTAAAATATAATTATAAGTAGAAATGTACTTAAATATATGTAATTAAAAGTATGAAATGACTTGGTGCTATTAATAAAATTTTTGCATAGTTCTAAAAAATTATTCCTTAAACTGTATTCTAGGCAAATTTGCCTGGAATTTTGAAAAGTATTTACAAATTTTTAAATAAAATTAAAAATTATTAATAATATGGGGTATAATTTTTATATACAATATTTTATTTAAAACATATTCTATAAGCTTTATTATAGAAATTTTTTAATTTTACTAGAAATATTTAGAGTAATAAAAGTTTAAAGCTCTAATTTTAAAAATTTTTACTATTAAAATTTTCTTTAAATTTTCTAAATTTTTATATGTTTTTGCCTTTAAAAAAATCTTTACTTCTAATACAAGTCATAATTTT